TGGTTAATACCAAAAGTTGGGTCGCCATCTTAATTTTTCACCTTCTTCTATGAGATATATGTGAAGCTATTGCAAACGAGAAATTTAAAAGATTGAGAGAGAGAGAGAGAGAGAGAGAGAGAGAGGTCAAGGAGTTGTTGGATGGACTTGGATATTTATATAGAAGGTAGAACTAGTGATGGCTTTCAATGAAGAACAACGATACAGAAGAAAGCACGGCCGACCGGCCGGGCTTGCATTCTAGACACCGGAAAAGTCTTAAAGCGTTCAGTTAAAGCCAAATGTAAACAGGTGCATACACTGAATCCAAAATTTGTTCAAAGGTTTGTAGTCATTTCTTAATTTTCTACTCCTCCTGAGTGTGATGTGCATTTAGAATTCTTCATGCATGCGTTAAACATATCAAGCCAACATCTGAGTTTTTTGTTTGGGCACCCGGCTGGGGCTGATATGGTCAGATTATCAGTTATATATTGCTTCATGTCTTTGTCGACGTACCAATTTTGGTCATTTTTTTTTCCAAGACCAAGTCTTAGGGGTAGAAGAATGACTGTAAATTATATTTATCGAATTTTTTTTTTTTTTTCTGTTGGCCCGACGGACAAGAGGAAATTGTGTAAAGATGCAGAAAGGGCTGTCTCACGGAGTCCGGCAAGCATAGCCGGAGGAAGGGGGATCGGAGCTGTTCAGTGAATTACTTGAAAGACAATTTGAGATGAGAATAAGCAATACATTCTGCACCTGAACAACCATAATATGTGATTATATAAGAATCTCATACAATTCTGAAACTTTTAAGGCCACAGACAGAAGAAAATAAACCAAAGTGTCATGATGCTGCGTATCATTAACTTTTAAGAAAACTAATGAAAAATGTTTAAAAAGTTTTAGTTTTAATAAAAAAAAAAAAGTCATGTTATAAGTTTTGTTTAATGATTAGTACAAGGCTCATATTAAAGTAATCCAAATATTTCCACCAAAAAAAAAAAATAAATAAATAAATTAAAGTAGTCCAACTAAAAATGGACTAACTATAATAAATTATGATTTGTTGATTTTACCCCTAACTTTTTTAGGTTGAGTTCCAGAGTTTTGTAGTTAATAGAGTTCATCATTATATTGCAGACCTTCTTCTTTTTCTTTGAAACAAAAATAAAGAACCTCATGCTATTTAATTTATATTTTGTATTACTTCGTTGAAACGTGATCGTCGTTATTATTTATAAAGTATTCGAGGTATTGTTTTTCAATTTTTCTTTGTTAGTGGAGTTCATCATTTGTTTCTCCAGAAAATAAATTTGAGATCTGCATGTTATTTAATAATAACGACGGGTCACTATTTCTCGACTGTAAAAATAAACCGTTTCTAGATTTTACGTAACACTGTTTCTGAAATCTAAGTTATTGTTTATGGATCCAAATGAAATAGACACACTGTTTATTAAATGTAAGCTAGAAAAGAAATAGTGAAATTTATTGTATTTGGATTCAAAGAAAATAAGCATTATGTTTCTTAAATATAATCAACTGATGCATGAAAAAAAATAAACAATCAAAAGTTAAAACATAGATTGTTTCTAGAATCTAAGTCACTGTTTCTGGATTCTAAGTTATTGTTTTTAGAATTTAAGTCACTGTTTCTGGATTTTGGTTCTTTTCTTTCCAGATGTGCATAGAAAAAACAAACACTGTATTTGATTTCTTTTTTTCCAGAAATAGTGTTATTTTTTGGGTTCTCCAGAAACAATTTTATGTTTTGGTTTTTTTATTTTTTTTATTTTTCTTTTTTCCTATTTACAGATACTTGATATGTACGTACATCACAAGGACCATAAGTCCTTATTGGATCTGATTGGAATAAAATACTAACACTATAAATTGTTCGTGGCGCAGATAAGAGGATGAGGACGAGGACGATGACAAGGAAGATGAGGATAAGGGCACAAAAAAGGTAGACAATAGTTTTTGATGGTTTTTTATTAAATTTTGAGCCATTTGGGTTAAATAACATTTTAGGATGGTTTTTTGTTGAATATTTGTTGACCCAAGCCTTTTTCATTAAAGCTGCCCTAACTTTTAAGGCCTCAATGGATACCATTGAGGAAAATAGATTTTGCCCACCGCAGGTGGTGAGCAACATTCTGTGTCGTTTAACAAGTTTGATTTAACTTACCCGCTACACGAATATTAAAAATCAAAATCATCAAATGGCACATATTATGGTGGTAATCTATTCTCCTAATGCTAGTTGATACAGTCCATTCCCATATAACTTCTTGTAGACGTTCTAAATCCGCAAAAGGAAGATCATCTCCCGGAGGTAGGGATCCCCACCGTCTGAAACCTGGTTTTCTGTCACTAGATACCCCGAATCCAGTTCTAAGTCAAAATAAAAGCTCTGTTTCATGGGTTCGGAAAATCCTGCACGAATATCTCAGTTCATCAGAGAGCAGATCCTGGCCTATCGCTGCTATTCCATTCCCATATAACTTCGAAAGGTTGTTCCAGATCTGAAACCTCTGGAAAAGCAACTTCCTTGGTTACGTGTTCCTGTCTAAAGACAGCAATCTGGGAAGCAAAACCTGGTTCTGTATCACCGGAACCCCCAACTCCACTGAACTCAACACTGTAGTTGTGCTTCGCAGCCAATTCAGTCGCCCAGCAATTGAACTGCTCTCTCGTCCACTCGAACTTGTGGTCATGGTTACGAAATTTACATTGTGCTTGACTTTTGTCCTCCGGGTCATCTTCTTGGCTTGACAAATTGGATTTCTGGAGTATCACATTGTATTCGTAGTTTGGAGTGGAGACAATAAGAACCCTTGGACGAAATAAACTTAGCACCACGTTGCCAAACTCAGATGCTTGATCTTCCTCCATATGCTCTATTACCTATGATTTCCAATCAGAGTAAGCAACATTATAAACGAATTACAGTACAACGGGGACATCACGCTTGATTTCTGTGAAAACAGGAATATTTACAGATTTTATGTGGCAGAACTTTCTAACATGGGTTTAAAAGAAAAATAAGAGATTACCTCTAAGCAAGTGCCAATATCAAATCCACTCAACCGGGAATCAAAATTTGTAATTGAACCATCGTAAAGAATTGCTGAATTCATGGCTGACGTAATGGCATCTGAATTTGAGTTTAATTTGGAATGAAGTATCTGCAATATTGACAGAAAACTAAGGTTCATGGCTAAGGCAAGTGTTTAACTAAATGAACTTCATGGAAAAACAAACAAAGAACAAATATCTAAAATCAGCACACTAATACATAAGGAGGAAACGGTTCTATTCGTTTCTTGTACCCACCATGACCGAGCAAACACACGGATAAGGTTCATCCTAACAAGGGATCCTTTAAAATTAAGTAAAACCAGTATTAATTCTCTAAAACATAAATTAGAAAAGTCTTAACAAAGTGTATCACAGGTCTACGGCAAGGCAAGATGTCACCCATTCCCTAAATGTTTTGGCTGCACCGGGCTCTCTGGTGACAAAATCACCAGCAACTATCTATATACATAGGACCTGGCATATCTGTCACATTATTTATTCCTGTAAATGTTTAAATTAAAAGATAATAGCAGAAAAAAAAATAGAATAACCAGATATATACTCTAAATGCAAAAATCAGTAGTTAAATTATGATTCAGACCTTTGCCGCACGAGCAAGACTCTTTCGTGAAATATCAACACCAGCAATTTTTTCCAGAGAAGTTGGATAGTTTAATAAAGAATCCAACAAACTACCAGAGCCACATCCAAAGTCAACCTGCAACAATTACAAAGGACATGAAACTTAATGTCATATAAACAGTGTAATAAAAATTTCGGCTTGATAAAAACAGTGTAAAGCCAAAAGATGATAAAAACTCATTTACCAAAGTAGTTGCACAAGATTGTTTGATGCCTTGCACTGCATATTCCACACGCTGTTTTGAAAGTGGAGGGCTGAAAAAAGCCTGCTCCATTCTATCCTCTAGTGGTTCGGTTACCCCCAACAAAGTTATAGTGTATTCCAAATAGCAGGTTTCTGAAGACAATAAGGAAAGCATCCTAGCAGAATCGCCAGCTGCAGCTAAAACCAACTCTTGAGGTGGCAAATCCATACTGAAAAAAGCCGACTGACCAACAGTCATTTGTGTAATAACTGACTCGAGATGTGGGATCACTGCTCCAGATGCTATCTCAAACTCAAAGTCATCACTACTTTCCAAAAGTTCTTTCGTATGTTTGCCTTCAGTCACCAAAGAAGTAGAATAGCTTACACATGCTAAGGACCCAATAGATGGACAAACACCAGAATCCGGTCCTTCTATACTTACGGAACAAATGTCAATTCCAGGGACAGCAAACAGTGCATTCACAGAGTTGGAAAATGATAATTTTCCTTCTTCAGTCTCTTTATGCCCAACAGTATGAATATGATGGCACAGCATAAATGTTTTAATAAAGTTTTGGGAATCGAATCTAATGTTGTGGCCCTCAGCAGAAGCGTTTAGTCTCTCTAAAGGCATAGTTAGATCCCCAAAATATGCATTTAACCATAACAGAACTTTCAAAGAAACATTCTGGATGGCATCACTCTGCTTCTTAAAAGTCTCTTTTGGTGAGCACTCTAAAATAAAATCCTGAAACTTAGAAATTATTTTTACTTCACATCTAAAGCTACCTCCGGATTCAACTATCTCCTTTACACCAGCATCAACAACACGGCCATTTGCATATTGTGTCTCTTTCCCAGCCAAGTCTGTCACCTTTAACTTCTTGTGTGATATTGGTGACTCGGATGATTCTTCTAGAGTGTTTCGAGGAGAGAAGATGGGCTCAAGCCGGTGCTGGCGGCAGAATGTACACAGTATCTCCCTTGGAATCGAACCCTTCCATTTTGCCTTGGCAGAAAATGCTAAAGGTAACTCAGCTGCAAGTATTGCTTCTCTGGACAACTTGTAAATTCCACTTGGTGTCTTGCCAATGACCATCCTGTAAAGTGTAGACTTAGATTTTAGGTATGATTGAATTATGCAATGTTGTACACTTTTATTACTGAATGATGCAGCAAAGAAACAGGTGGAGCGTTCCTCTTTTCTATATACTTTTCAAATTTGGATTTTGGAAAACAGTAAGTACCGTGCGGTTTTGAAGGATAGTCTCAGTGGTCTAGGTTAAACAGTATTCGGGTCTTTAGTATGAGAGTCGGAAGCATTTTCTTCCAAGCAGGGATTAATATTTCATCATTTTCAACCAAATGTATTATATTTTTATAACTAATAAAGCCAGAAATTTCTAAGAGTTTTATGAGTCCTATTCCTTCTCATTTATTTGAGAAGGATGATGCTACAGAACCAAAGTATTTTTCCAACTATCGCACATATAGTGGGTCCAACAATATGCATATGAAGGTTAGGAAAAGAGCTTGGTTATGAAGCATTCTTTCCACTGGCACAAAAGCAAGGTAAAAGAAGAAAAATGTTTGTAAAATGTGAACAGTACAGCAAAAGTCAGAAAAAAACCTGTGATATGATTGCAGGGATACATCTTCATAGAAAAGGTCTTTGGACCTCCATGTGTATCCAATGGATGCCAAAACAGCGTTACCATATATATCTTGGCCCGACAGGTAACTTGCTCTTGCATTGAAAGATCCTTCAGAATTACAAGCTCCTTTGGTATTTAGAAGATCTGAAGAGATATCCAACAGAGATTTCTTTGGAGCAGCAAAGTACAGTCTTGTCTCAGAGGAAGCTTTACCTATAGGCCTGTCAAAGAATTTGTACCACAAGTTAAGCACAGATGGTTACAGAGTCAACAAACTGTCCTCCCAGTTTTTCCACATTATCCTTTTAACATACCTTGAGATCAGAATGTCAGCAGCGTTCAATAACCCAAGTTGTTTTGCTATAACATCCAGGAAATATCCAGAAGATGAGAGATTTAGGATTACTCTTTCAACACTCTTCTCTAATGAACATGGTACATTTATGGCTTCAATCGGAAATATTTCTTTGGAGTCTGATTGCTCAACAGATGATGACTCTATTATTTCAGGAGTGTATGGATTTTTCCTCCTAATCCAGAGCTCTTCCTCAGAAGTAGCAAGAAGTCCAGATAATTTAGCAGCAGCCCTCATAACATATAATATAGCCAAGAAAGGACTTGACTCCACCTTGGGATCAATGGATTTACACATATTAAAAAGTGTTGCGTCAAAGACAGCAATGACTGCGGCAGGAATTTGACCAGAAAGATCACCTTCCCTCTGCAATGCTGCTCTGAAGTGACCACTAAGAGGATGAAGAGCTGGAAGAAACTATAACAGTGAAACATAAGAGAAATGTCAAAATAATAACTCAAATCAGTGCTTCAAGAATATCTCAGAAACTTATTTCCTAAAGCAATCCAGGTCAAGAAATATCAGACAATTCACTTCCATCTCCACATAGTCAAAGCAAACTGAGTCCTTGAAAAAGATTTACAAGTTGAGAAGAAAGTGAAAGATAGAGAGAGGTAAAGAGTACTTGACAGAATAAGCACAAGAATTTATCAATTTAAGCATGTGTTATTACGGATAGATTTTGGAACAAAGTTTCAACATACATATATGTTTATGCATACAATTGGAGCACGACCGTGATATAAATAAGCAGTAAGCGCTTCCAAAGCTCTCAAATTCAAAGAAATAACAGGGATGCTAGGTCAAAGAAAAAGCTAATACACTCTTGTCCAATTAAAAGCAATTAGGTAATCAATACATAAATTAAGAAAGGTGATCATCATATGCTTTTTGTAAAAACTAATGTAGACATTTATACGTGGCAGAACATGTATTAACTGTTTACCAACCTCATCTGAAAATAAAAAATTGACACGAGAGACTAACTCATCCCATGCTTCCTGCAGAGTAGGGACTTTTGTTGAGGGATTAATGCCTAGCTGCAGGAAACAGAAACAACATTTACTAACCATAATCATAAAATAAGAAAGAAAAACAATCTTGCAAAGTTTTTAAAGAGGCAGTAAGCTAATATAACCTTCACAAGTGTAACAGCACACAACTACTACAGCAAATATTCATAGAAGAAAAAAAACTACATAAAAATTATACATACAAAGAATAATTCTATAAAAATGAGCAAACACGTATCTCAACATTTGTATAATGTAGAGCAAGAAAATAATTTGCATCCTCATTCAAACTATTTAGGTCCATCATCCCTCGTCCAGGTGTCTAGATGAGAAAATTTATTTCCACCGACACCATATCCCCTTGGCTCATACACCCACACAATGGAAGAAAGGTTTTGCGGTAGCAAAAACACAAATACTTTAAGTACAAAATTTATCTTCCATATCTAGCTGTCCAAAACAGGACAATTGCTCATGCTCCTTGTTATTCATTAAAGCGTCAGTATGTAACTGATCAAACGTCCACATTGAGATGGGTGATGTCCAAACAACAAACATAAGAGGATCAGATAAATCAATGTGGGAATCTCAATTCTAATTATAATTGTTGAACACTGAGCAGAATTTCCATTAACTTTATTGGGGTAGTTAAACAAATAATAGAGTGGGCAGGCCCAACTCAGAGCCATAAGATTACAGAAAGGAGAACAATCCAACCTTTTCTAAGGCCAATTCAGCGGCAGACTGTTCTGCATCCTTCTTCTTTTTAAAGGTTTCAGATACGACAGTAACTTCTGGAAGTTTCAAGGTACAGCGATAAAGGCAAGGGCCCTTCTGCATAATGGCCAACCCTGGACATCCATTTTGAGGAGACTCATGCACTTCCTCTACTTCATAGCGGGCTGTGCTACCGAACTTTTTGTGTATGATAGCCTTAGGCGTAAAGGTAGTGTTTCGCACTGCAACAGTTGCGGCTCCTTCAGTTTCCATCTGTACCCAAGAGGTCTTCAACTATAAGTTTTTATATACGTTAGATTGGATGTCCTTTATGTAATTAAAAGTTACGGTTATAATCCAATGATAAAATCAGATGGAAAAATTTTTCTATCCAGCTACCAAACGACTACTACTTATGTGATTACATTGCAAAATAGCTAAAAATCTCAAGGAACAAAAACCAATGGCACATTCCATACATTGGAGTAAACCATAGGCCATAATACTCGAAAACACGACACCAGTAAGAAAATAAAACATAAACCGCAAGACAATGTCCGTATAACCACAACTTAAGATTCAACGTCTCCTGTTCGACAGTTTCTAACCAATCATCCTGAATAAATGCTTTAGGTTAACCGAAAAAGAGAAGAAAAAATACCTGTGGATATCCTCAACCCAAGTGACTAGTAGCCAAAAACAACTGGAGAAATTAAACGCAAATTATACATTTGAGTAAGCATAAAAATGATAACGTCGTCATTTCGAATGACTATCATATCAAAACCAACAACTTGACATTGAAAAACACAATGCATTATATAAAGACAATATTTGAATTAAATGGTAAAGAAAGCAAACACATTTTCATCCCAAAAACATATATCAAATGAACATAAAAATAAGAACCCAAAATTCCTAATTCTTTTCGTCAGTAAAGTATCGAAACGACAAGATAATAAGCCAACTGTTGATCCCCCAAAAGTCCAGTTAATTATGATAACATTTAGTCGCTGGGTGATCATAAACGAAAGATCATAAATTCAAGATAAAAATACAAAATATATTTAAAAAACTAAACTTTCAGCTAATAACACAGCAATGCGCTAAGTAATCGTAACAAAGGTGGCTGAAAATTACTGGGTTCCTTAGAAATTGACAAACGGAGCTAATTAAACAGCAAATTTGCACAGGAAAGTTAGAGGAATACTGGAATTTGTTGGAAAATTGGAGATAGAAAAGCAAACCCAGTTCGAAAAATCAACGGAATATCTACAAAAAGGCATCAAAAGGTGGTGAAGATATAAAGCAATGGCAGGCAAGAGAGGGCATACGATCAAAGAAAACAGCAAAGGCCGTACCTTTTCGCATTCACAACGGCAATGGCCGAGCCTGAGAGAGGAGGGAGAGAGAGAGGCACAGAGCAGAGAGAGAGAGTGAATAATGTGTGCGTTGGTGGGGTTTTGGTGGGGCAGCAGAAACGATATAGAGAGAGAGAGAGAGAGAGAGAGAGAGGTTTTGGAGGAAGGAAAGTAAAGAATATCAACATGAAACTTGTACATGCGGTTGGGATTCTCGGTCTTCTTTTTGGTCCTTGCTTGCTAAGGAGTAAGCCCCCTTTTCCCTTCCCAAACTAAAATTTTCTTTTACACTAATGAAACTACGAAGCGTCTACGAAGATATTTTCATGATGGACCATCAGTTTATGTATAATAATTTCATGTAGTTAACAAGTTAGTATCAAACTTATTACAAATATAAAAGTCGAGTCAAAATCTACTTTGATCAAGTAAAGATCAGATATCACGATGTCAACTGATTATGTAGCCAACTCATATTTATTACCATTGTATTTTAAATTTTAATCAATTTCCATTGAATATTGTGTCATTCCAAGTTTAATTGGTTTCCTTTATTTAGGAATTGACTTCAAAATCTTTTCAAATTTGCATTTTTCTTCTTCTTTTGTTTGAAATTATCTTGCATCTCAAATGGTTAAAACTTCAAAGCACATATTTTTGTACTTAATGTCCTGTGTTCGATTTTTTACTTCCCACAAATCATTTGTAGTTTGATTGGCCGACGTAGAGACCCAAACACGAAAGCCCCCCCCCTTCCCTCGACCTACAAATAAAGACGCCACTTCTCCATTCTCTTGAGGTTGTCTCGTTTTCCAACATGATATTTCAGTTCGTCAATTCTTCATCTGAATAACACTATTTGTACCACCTTTCAATTCTTCAAATTGAAAGTTTACTAAACACCTCTAACACAAGTGGACCGCACCTGTGTACATGAGACTCACTTGTATTAGAGATTCAGCAATAAAGGCGGTTCAAATAATAGTACTTTTTCTACCGATGGAATATACTCTCTCTCTCTCTCTCTCTCTGGCCTAAATGTATACATAAGCATCATAAAAAGCTGGGGGTAGAATCGGTATATTAACAAAGCAGAAACAAAAGGCTATCAACATAGACAAAATAAATTGTATTCGTTTAAGGCCATGAAGTTGCAACTTTGTATAGAAATTGAGTGCCACAACATGCTATGTTCAGGTTTCCAACATTTGGACTTGCTATTATCACTACTCAATGATGAAGTCAAGCTAGCTCTCGTTCTTGCCGGAGTAATAATGCCGGAAAACACAGGAGAAGTCCTCGGTTTCATGACCATTCTTGCAGAGCTGTGTGTATCTGCACAACAAATCAGTGCATCAGCTTATGGTGAACGAAAATAGTATATGCAGCGGAGATTGTTGTGCATTACAAGTTATCAATTTCAGGATTTGAATTGGATGTTAACGCAAAGCTTAAATCAAGTTTCGGTTAACGCATTGAAAGCTTAAATCAAGTTTCAATATACGCACGTAGAGATCGATGCATATGTGTTTTGTACTTCCTCGACTGTCTTCTGTTATGGTCAGCATGTCACCTTACTTCTATTCTCGAGTTTTAGGTGGATACTTGTTACTTCTAGACCGCTAACAGAAGGAGTGCAAGTAGTTTTCGGAGGAGTGGGACTAGCATTACCCTACCTTATTCATATATGATATAATTAGATATAAAAAATATGCGAGGACACCGACGTAGGCTCAAAAAACGCAAAGGGATTTACATCTTTTGTGCTTGGGACGTCAACGGGCATCTAACACCAACCTCTTCGGCTGATGTTGCACCAAGGTTTAGATCCTTAGCCTGCCATTTACCAAATACAATCATCAGTATCCGAACAACATATTAACATTATAGGATTCAAGATTGACCGTTAGGAAAGCTTCAGCAATATGCTAAGGCCCGCAGAGACCAAAGATACTAGATGACCAAAATTTGTTGAACAGTTTATGCCTAAAATTTGTTGAACAATATCAAAAATATTTTTCAGACGAACAGGATTAAACTAACTTACCATAAGTTTGGATGCGAACCCGCCATCATAGTTCCTTGAAGAGGGCACTCCTTCCATCACTCCAGGAACCGGATTATAACTATCACTGTCATGTATTCCACGTCCTAGGTGTTAAGTACTAACAAACCATTTGGAAACACATAATCTACCCAATATAAGCCCAAACCTGAAGATATTCCCCATATGTGTGTACAGGTATGTGTAGTGTATGGGCAAGATCCAATTGGCAGCGAAGCAAAAATTGCCTTAAGCTACAATGTAGAGGGTATTCTGATAGTACCTACTCCAACAGCGACCACTAGAAGAGTTGAGTACTCTTGTCAGAGTACTTGCGGAAAGTCCCAGAGCCTGGCCAAGAGCAAGGGATTCAGAAACACCAATCATACTAATAGACATTGCCAAATTATTGCAGATCTTTGCTGCCTGCATACAAAACCACTTTAGATGTCAAACAATCTGCAACAAGTTCAGGTAGTGGCATGAAAATTCTCAGAAAGTGAAAGGAGCTGTATTTTTGGCTCGTGAAGATGTGAGAACTTACTGAACCATTTCCTGATCCACCACAATAAATCGTGTTCTTGCCCATTGCAAGGAATAAGGACTTTGCTGCCAGATAAGATTCCTCAGAGCCACCCACCTGCAGACATGTTATCTTTTGATCATGACTCAGAAATTAGATATCACCAACCTAGGTACAATCCCTCACCCTCTAAAATCATATATCCCGTCTTGTGCATATACGAACTAGGATGACAAGAACAACACCTAGGACATATACTAAACAGTTAATTAGAGTATCTGGGAGAATGGAAACTGAAAATCTAGATCGTGAAATCAGCTTGTTTACTTCCATAAACTGAAATTCTTCATCAACTGACATTATGATCAAAATGTCAGTCCGCATTTCCGGCCATATATCAAATCAAAGCTATACAATGAAGTGCAAGTGGTATATAGTACGTGAGAAATAATACTGAAGAACAACCGCCCCTTAGGAATGCATATTCTTCTCTCTTCGATATAACTCCATCAGACTTAAATTACTGACTTTGAATGCCAAAACCAGAATTATACCATGAAAGTAAGAGTCCCCGCTTCTGCAGCAAGAACACCTCCAGATACAGGGGCATCCAACATGGCAGGCTTCTTAGGATAATCTACACAATATGCAACACATTAGTCAGTAAAAAGGCAAAGTTAAATGTCCCCCATCGGCCATCTTACAAAATAAAGTCAGTAAAAGACAAATGAAGGAAGAAACTGCATTTTTTCACAACCTCAACCATTTGATAATTTAAATCAATATAATGGAAGATTGAGCAAGCACTGATGCTCAAACAAATTAAATCAGTCTGCCATTGTACCTTTTTTCTCCTTTAAAGTACAGTCAGATACAGCAATAGAAAGCTTTCTCGACGTTTGTGGATCAATAGTGGATGAATCTATTAACAACCATGGTCGTAATTCCCCTCCACAAAGTAAACCATTAGGTCCAGTATAAACATCGTATACCTGCATTGAAAGAAGAAGAAAAAAATTCACATTTTGCAGTGCTTGTGGAACTTGAACACCTCAAAATTGCAAATTAATGAATTTTAAGCAACACTTGAATTGTAACTTCCCATAAGTAGAGTTTAACGAATGAATAAATAAGGCACTCACGTGAGATGAGGAAGGCAGCATTGTGATTACAACATCACTAGCTTCAGCAACTTTTAAAGGTGTTTCTTTCATTGCAGCTCCCATGTCCAAGAACTTCTTCATAGCATTGCTGTTTCTGAACAATAAAAACAATAACACATAGACATTATAAACTGCCATAGAACACATGGTGATCCCCCTTATCCTAAGTGTGACGGGGATAGTTAATCCTTGCGATTAATCAGTACAAAACGTAGCTAACTGAATGTGATCCAAACGAACAGTTTGTAGAAAAGATATAAATACATTACATGTCATGAACAGCGACTCGGTATCCAGCCTTAATTAGATTATTTGCCATTCTTGATCCCATATTTCCCAGCCCTATAAACCCAACACTCTGCAATCCATCATTCAGATAATGTTACAAATATACAGCATCCGAGAAATCAACTAAAACAGTAGCATTCTCCATATAATTACTCTTTTATCAAAGAACTGATATATAAATATTTCATAAAACAATCTTATGCTTGGAGTCTGTTTCAGTAAAAGCGCTGCTGTCAGGTCAAAATTACTTCCTAGAGAAGCACCTGCCAGATGTTTCTTCAAGAAGTGCTTTTCCAGGAAGCACTTGAATTTTCAATAAAAACTTCAACGTGTTTATAGTCAAAAGACGTCTAACATAAGCACTTTCGAACATAAGTGCAATCCCAAACGAGCAAATCAATTTCCCACATACCCAGTTGAGAATTAGCATGAAATAAGTCAGAGCAACCAGAATTAGCATCAAAATCAGAGCTTTACCTCAAAACCGGATGAGACTTGTTCTGAATAAAATCTGCGTGTTGAAGATGACAGAAGAGAAAGTGGGTGGATTGAGGAAATGCATTTGGAAAGATGATTCAGTGATCTCACCCTACAGAAAATTGCCATGCTCTTTCTCTCTCTCTCTCTCTCTCTCTAGAGGCAAAGTTCAAATAATGGCAGTGCTTATTTACAGAAGAAAAACAGGAAATCATTGTCTCTAATCTCCCATTTGGTTGTCTTATCTTAAAGTCCACGTCATTGTATTTGTATTTCATGTTATATCTAACATCTTTATCTATTTGGCTTTTCTGTCCAACAAATTATTCCCTCACTTGGAATTAAAAGATGAGCACTTTGTTGCGGGTAGTTGGTTAGAATGTGTGATCTGTTTAGAAAAATAATTTTTACTAGTAACATAAGCGAAGCAGGTGTAAAATATTACACTCTAACTATAACACAAGGGAATGATTAATAAAAGTGGGAGGAATAGATAGTGATATTATTTATCTTTCTTTTCTTTCTCTATGTTTTGATTGCAGTCGAGTGCTCTATTTATAGAGCAATTCGCATTATTACATTTTGAAATTTACATCATATGACTTTGAAAATACAATCATTTTGTTTCCAAAGTCTACATCACATTTGTCGACACTAAAAAATCACATTTGTGGGCATTCATAACAATGCCAATGTTTTTAACATGATGTATATTTTAAATAGTTTTTCGTGATTTAGAATAGAATATCGCTCAAAATTGTTACACTTCTTCAGAAATACGAGCTGCCCCTTCAAATAGGCTAGTTGGCAGTAAAGCGTCCCACCTCTTGCACCGAAATTTAAATTCTTCTTCAATTCGATTTGAGTAGTTTAGAATATCGTATTCTAAAAAAACGATGTTAATGACATGGGGCAAGGTACGTAAACTTGGAAACGGCCGGCGGGGATCGTCATGAAGCGACACAAAGCTAAACAAAAAAGTGCATCCCTTGAAATCTAGTCCGTTTCCAATTTTCCACAATGGTTAATTCAATCAGCTGATCACACTAGAAAAACCAAACGAGATACAAAAAGGGAGGCCAATGAGATATTAAACTTCCCCTCCCACAAAAAGGAACAAGTTCAAATAAGCTAAATCAACCCCTAACTTAAAACTATATGGAGGAGAGATCCTCATATATGTTCTTAATACCTGGCCTTCTCCCAACAGTTCTTAAACATCGTAACGCTATTCCAAGGACCTCCTTCGTTCCCTTCTCTGCTGCTGGCACTCCCATTTCCGGCACCAATGCAGCGTCAAAACATTCAGAGCCGCGCCCTTCTGCTACCCTCAGCTGAACCCAATCTGTCAAATCAACCCATTTCCTTCACCTGAAATCACATCGCCCGCACACCTTCCAGTTAGGAGTTCCAGCATTATCACTCCAAAGGCGTAAATATCTGACTTGAAGGAGGGAAGAGGCTTCTTGGAAGCAGCCAACTCTGGTGCACGGTAACCCAAGACACCAGCATCGAGAATCTGTTCGATGGTGCCAGCTTGTGTCATGAGGCGGTGGAGGCAGTAATCAGCAACACGGGCATTCAGGTCTGGCCCGTCCAACAAAATATTTGATGCTTTGAGGTTACCGTGTGGAACAGCACGGTCAAAATGGAGATAGTTCAGGCCACGTGCAACGTCAACTGCAATTTTGAGCCTTTGGGCCCAGGTCAATGGTGGATCTTTTCTTCCTGGTCGATCTGAAATAATTTAGGCTCATCAGAAATGCCAATGGAAGGTTACCTAAATACAAATACGCGCACAGATAGGATACGTATATGCCCGCACACACACGTGTATATGCAGAGAGAAAGAGATTAGTGAAGTAGAAAAAACAATTTTTCTTCAAAAATCAAGAGAGAAGTGGGATAAAGATACAAGCCATGCATTCTATAGCAAAAGAAACCGTTTGATCATTGCAAGATAAATAGGAAGAAGAGACTAACAAGAAACAGCTTACCGTAAAGAAAGCTTGCAAGACTTCCCGGTGAGATATAATCGGAAAGAATGAGCTTCTCATGCTGTGTGGGGCCCCAGTAGTACCCTCTCAAACCTACAACATTTGGATGCCTCATGTTCGCAAACTTTTTAGCCTCCTTGGCAAACTCCTTTTTCTGTTTCGCCACCCCTTCTCTCAACCACTTAACCGTCAAGAACAACCCATTATCAAGTGTTGCCCTGTAAGAAGTCCCATGGCTACTTCTTCCTAGAACTTCAGCAGGTGCCCTTGACAGCTCCTCCGGGGTTAATGCAATTGTATCATCAAGAAAATGCAGCTCACCAACCAATTTATCCGGTGACCTCACATCCAGTCTTGCAAGGTTTTCAGTAGTGACTGACTCTCCAGAGTCTGGGGACCAAGAGAAATGGCTGTGCTTTGAAGGGGAGAAACCAGCTACAGCTGCAACTTTTTTATCGGGGCTGACAATTTCGGATGATGATCCTTTTTGTGAAGCCATGAGATCCGCAGTTGAAACGACCAAAGCACCACCCAGTGCCTGTTCCACGAACACCAGATTGGTTTGGTTGAGTGCGACTGTGGATGTCTTTGCTTGTGGTATGCTCTGATGGGATTCTTCTTGACATGCGGATGTAGTGTACGAAGATAGCAAGCAGAAGAAGAATGAAGACAGCTACCACACATGAAACTATAATGATTACCTTGACCATTGTACTGATTGGTCTCCTCTTTGAATTTTCATTTCCAGAACTGTTTGATCCCGGAGGACCATTTGGAAAAAGCAAACGTGCATTCCCTGGATAGAAGGAAGATTTTGGAAACTTTCTCAGATTTTCCGGGACATTCCCAGAAAGATCATTGTATGAGGCATTAAAGCTTTCAAGACTAGTAGGCAAGTTGTTTGGCAAAGGACCTGTAAAATGATTTTGGGAAATGTCTAATGAGCTTAAAGTGCTGATGTTGGTGACAGAAGTTGGAAGAGAGCCAGAAAAATTATTTCTAGCAATATTGAACATTTTAAGCCCCTTCAATGAACCAAAATGATCAGGAAAATAGCCACTAAGATGGTTCTGGGAAAGATCAACAACTTGAAGATTTGACTCACTGGGCAAAGGAGATGAGATGTTAATCGAGCCGGTGAGTAAATTATCACGAAGGTGCAGTTCTTGCAAAGTGGGCATTGTTAGCAATTCAGCTAGAACCGTTCCATCAAGCTGATTGGAACTGAGATCAAGGACACTAATCTTTGGATATTGTGTTATAACACTTGCTATAGAACTACTAAGAGTGTTATGGGAGAGGTTAAGATAATTTAAACGCAAAAACTGTGGGGTTACATCAGGGATGGGTCCTGTAAAATGATTTTGACTCAGATCGAGATATTCTATGTTTCCCCATTTCACCATCCTGGTTAAGTTTCCTTCGAATTTGTTATTCGATAGATCAAGTACAGCACAACTTCCAGTCAGCAACGGTAACTCACCAGTAAGCCCATTTGAGGACAGATTGAGGAAGCGCAGATTGGTCGATGTGATCATATCTATTGGTCCTGAGAGATGAATTTCAATGTGAGAGGCGTACTAAAACACACTAAGCGTAAATAAATAAAGTAAAACAACACAAAAAGACGCATTTGCAAGTGAATGTAAACGAAGGCAAAAAGAAGTACATATTAGTACCTGTGAGATTGTTGCCACTCAAATCTAGTTCAGTTACAACAAGAGAATCTCCTTTTAATAGACCATTAGGAATATCTCCGGTAAATCTGTTGTTGCTGAGTTTGAGTACTTGGAGATCATAGGCAAAATTAAAGCCTGGCAAATCCCCTGACAGCTGGTTGTAGCTGAGATCCAACACCTTCAGGTTTTCAAACATCTGTAGCTCACCACCGCTTACCAGTGACCCAGTGAGCTGGTTGTGGCTAAGATTCAAGTACTTAATAGTCTCAGAAAGGCGGGGTAGAAACTTCTGCTGTTGTGAACTGGAACTAACAAACATATTGCCACTCAAATCAACATGAGTGACCTCAGATAGCATCAAAAACTCCAGATTGATATGCCCATCGAGCATGTTCCCATGCAAGTCAAGCACATCGAGACTTGAAATTAACTCAAACCCCTTAGGTATTTTCTTGGTAAAGCCATTTAAAGACAAATTTAGATGTACCAGTTTAGGCAGCTCTGTCAATGATGCCGGCAGGGGCCCGGACAAGGAGTTTCGACTCAAGTCCAATAACTGGACTGAGGAAAGCCCTGAAATTGAATCTGGAATAGAACCCGAGAAGTTGTTGCCACCTAGTGAGAGATTCCTCAAGCTCCCTAACCTACCAATCCCAGGTGGTAAAGGTGAAGAAAATAAATTGTTGGACAGGTCAAGGAACTCAAGGCTTTTGAAGTCAGCTATGTTGTCGGGAAACTTTCCCATTATCGAGTTGTTGGCCATGGAAAGTCTCACAAGCTTCGTTAGATTCGCAAACACACTCAAGTCCACATCCGCAGAGAGACTCAAATTATCAAGAACAACCCCAGCAACATTTCCGCCATTACACACAACACCGTTCCAAGAAGATGGGCAACCATCAAAGTCAATGGACTCATCATTCCAAGAATTAAGGACATAGCCAGTGGGGTCATGCTTGACACCCTTCTTGAACTCGAGCAGCGCCAAAATATCCTGCGAAGGGAGCTGCCCCATGGCAGAAATAAACAGAAGGGACACCACAAAAAGCCGACGGAGCATACTTTCTCTATATTAATGACTTCACCCAGTTGAAATAAAAGCTCAACGTTAGAACAAGCAGTAAACCTTACGCCTCTACAGCCAACAAATTCAAGCAAGAAAACCAAACCAATATTCCAACACCAACTACAGCACAACACAGAACCCGCACTTTCGATTTCGAATATAACGAGAAATAGCTCTCAATGTTGGGAAGAAGTGGAGGCTTTTGAGCTCTCAAATCCACAGAGTGAAAGAAACTCAACTAATATTCGGACTTGTTCCAACCACAGTTGGAATCAAACATGCATCCAGAACCCCCAAACGTTCATCAATAACCCTTTTTTCCCTAACAAAAAGGCCAAACCTTTGAACTTTGAAGAGCTTCAAAGGACCAGATTCTCCTCCTCAAGGAACAACAAAAGTCATTTTACCAACTTCATACTACACAGCTCAAAGCAGTAAATCACACAATAAGCAGCAAAAACTGAGTCGCTATTAGAGACCTAACAAATTTTACTACCAAAGGATTCCATTTTTAGCACAATGTGGCTCTGTAAAAACTATCCCAATAAAAAGATTCAATCCTTGAAGCAAAACCCAGAATCTGAAACTGCTGAAAAATTACAAATGGGACTGTAAAGGCATTACCTTTTCCACATTGCTTCTTCACGGAGCTCACAGAACAACCAGCTACAGAAAACCCATGAACAAAAACTAGAAGTGGGTCATCAAATTTACAAGCCAAGCTGCGATAAATCACGGGACCCAGAAGAAATTTAACCAGAAAAAACAAAACCCTATAAGAAAAGTACTTTTGGGCTTTTCGTAAGTTCTTAACAGTCCAAAAACCTTTGCTCTTTCTTTAATGAAAGTAAATACAAAAAATCTCAGAAAGGCAGTGTCTTTAAGAGGGGCATGTGGAGACACCAAAGAAGAAGCCCAAGGGGTTCTGTGATATGAGGGTATTAAGCAAAAACCCTAGCTTTTGTGCCTTTTAGGGACTTTTAATGGTGGAATTGGGAAAGTAAGCGGGAAAATGTGGGGTTTTTTGGGGTTAATAATTATGGGATTACCCGCCAAAATAGGGGACAGAATCTCTTTCACTTTCCTAGTGGACGTCAAAGAATTTATTAAATCCAGTTTAAAATTGGCTCTCACGTACATAATACACTTTATATTTGCTTTTTCAATTAAAATTTATCTTAATACACTTCACTTACTTCCCCATAATACCTTCACACCCCACATTTTTAATACGCACCTTACATTTTCTACATGCACCCCATATTTTCCATACATCTCACATTTCTCAAATCTTATAAAGTTTTTAATTTGGATAAAAAATACCAACTAGAATTTTGACAAAAGATACTCCCTAGGATTTAAAGTATACGTAGATTGTTTTCAATTCCATCATTAAGACCCATCTAGTCAGTTTTTAATATTTTGTGATAATTTTATGTGTTTAATTTTTCATATAATTCCTAAAAAATGAATATAAATATAGGAGCTTGAATAACGCATCAAAATCAAGATTAAATAATTATTGATGTCGTTAAAATCATTAAAATAATAAAAAAATATGAAGTCTTACCTCATGTGAAGCTTCTGAAACATCCATTTCATGTTTCATTGGTCAAAAATAATTTTTCACAATCAACATGTGTTGTAATTTCATTGGTTAGAATTTTATTCAACAATTAAGGATTGAAGGGATTTTGATAGTTGAAGAAAAATAATATGAAAAGTTATTTAGGGTGTATATAGAATTTTTTTTTTTTCTTTTTAACCTAATAAGATCAAAATTACTATTACATAATAAGATAAATAAATTATTTAATACTAAATTTTAATATGAAATTCATTCAACATTTTTTGTGATGTTAATATAAAAAATCTTAAAATTTTGGGGTTTCACTTTTTGGGGTCCTTAAAAGATAGTGGCATGGAGGATTGTGAGGTCACTGCCAAGTAGGACTGATGTGGGCTCCACCCCGACCACTGCCCCTTTGACCAGGTGCTTTCACTCCTTTCAAGTTCCAATAAGACCAAAGAGGTGGAGTAGGTGCATACATAATGATATGGTGTGACGGTAAGACCCACAAGCAAACCAGCAGGACCATTGTGATAATGACACGTAGGAAAGTACACTCAAACATGAGAGATCTTCCTATTCGACGGTCGAGATAAATTTACAGACCATGCCGGTATTCCAATTTTTTGTCAACCACAAAAAGCCATGTACCACATGACCTGCCTCATAGACATGGAATATTGACATCCTTAACGTCTCGGCTGCATGTTAACTCTTTCCTGACAATCATGCTACAATGCAATCTTACTAATCAACGTATATTATAACACGTGTATGAATATATTGGTGTTATATGCTAAGTTAGAATCTAATTATATATAGTAAATTTATCTTATAGCACGTAAATTAATAATAATAAAGGACGATCTTCCAAAGCATTTGTCGACTTTGACCAAAATAAGAAAAAAATTAAATAAAAGATTTGTCCAGGGATATAAATTGACATTACGTGCAATCCACAGTGCTTATCTTGTGACTCCCATTTCGAGGAGAGATTTTTCAACGTGATCGGTATACGATGTGGTAAATCACATGTTATTATACAAATTATGAGATATATGTGTTAAAAATTAATAAATTAAGAAATAAAAATTTCCACAACTTACATAAAAACACGTAATGTACCACTCGTATTCCCGTCACAATTAAAATTTTCTCCAAATCGAGAGGTTACATGACTTGTTGGTTTTGAGATCTGGAGGACCACAGATAATTGCAACTACAAAACAGCAGATGGATGGGAGCAAGGGTGGTCCAAACCTGAGGATTACATTTATACATTGTCCTTTATCTTCTGTCCTCTCTGGTTGGGTGTTTTGGATAAAACCAAGTCCTCTGTCTTCTGTCCTCTCTGGTTGGTAATGTTAGTAGAATAGTAGGAATTACAAATGAAACTTCTTGTGTTTTCTTCACTCTTAATATCAAATCATATGATACGTAAATAATAACCGTCTTTTAGTTAATCTAACTTCCTCATCCCGCTGGACCAACAAGGAAGTAATACATGGATGTTCACATGTTATATCATTGACTACACATTTCGACCTGATCTTAGGTCCTCACTCATCATTCATAAACGAACATTACATTCATTATTCAGCTGATGACCAAGAGAAGGTTTCAAATCCCTTACTAAGTAAAACTCTTAGGTCATGTTTGGTGACTTAGGACTAGATTGGATTAGGGGGCATAATTAGGTTGCATTGGATTACATTTATTTAGTTTTTTATTTTATGATTTTGTTTGATGGGTTGCATTGGAGGGGAAACTGGAGAGGGTGACATTAACCATCCCGGGTTTTGGGTATGGGGTCATGGGGTCGGAGTGGGTGCGAGGGATCAGGTTGTATCCAATTCAAATTCACATTGCCATTTAGTGCTACGATCTAATGATATTTTTTTTCACTTGTAAGTAAGAGATCTTATATTCGATTCACGTTAAAGGCGAATTTGAGCCACATTATTGCTAGTCTATTGCGAGGCTCTAAGCCCATCTCTCCACCTTAGTGCAGATAATATCGCTTGTTCAAAAAAAAAAAATTCAAATTCACATTTTTTTATAATATTATTACTATAAGGAGAGAGGAGAATTTGAAATTGTTATAATAATTTAAGAGAGGGAGCGAGAGTTTCGAACCCATAACGTATGAGTAAACATCTAATATTATATCTATTAAAGTATTGAACCACATCCAAATTCAAATTTACATTTGATCACTAAAAATAGGATTAGATTAAGCCAATACAATTTACTACTAATCCGATCCATCAAACAAGACCTTAGATTAACACGAATGGCCGAAGAAGAACCCATCACCAAGAGGGAGAATAAGGAGCAGAAGAAGCCCAAAAGGGATGGTATTGTGAGGAGCCACAAAAATCCACTGGCTAAAGTGTTTGGAAAGCTCAGTGCTCAACTAAAAAGCCTACTTTTTTATGTTGGAGTTGGAGACTATGGTAGCAACTTTAACATTTTGAATTTAATTATTTTATACTATCTATCTTCAACTTCTTTTGGTAAAGTGAGGAAAGGAATAGATTCCACATGCTAGGTTAAATCTTATTCTAAAACGAAACGGAAAACAAAAGAAGAAACGCTTTCATACTTGTTTGTTTTTGGTTTATCGTTAATTTGGGGAAAACAAAAAAATAGGTAAATGATAAGTGTACACCATAATATACTACCATACTTATTCTTTCCTGCCCTCAACTATCCCCTCTTTCTCATTCTTAGACCATTTCTAACCTTCGGGAATAAAGCTTAAAATTTAAGCCAAAAAATTATAAGTCATATCCCAAAAACTACTTTTCTCCTACAACCCTTATGGTTTAAAATTTCAACCCGAAATTATTAAATAATGATTTTACCCTAATTTTTTAATTTCGGTAACTTTTTTTTAAAAAATAAAATATACGTAGATTATCCTAATTTATTTTTATGAACATTTTAATCTAAAAATATTTAAATTCCGATAAGTAATTAAAAATCATACAAATGCATAGGTATTTATAAATTTTTAAGTTAAATTTGATTTAAATTATTTTCTTAAATATTTTAGAAGTTAGATTTAATTTTGGGCCATCAAAAATTTTTATTTTTTTTAACTTTAACAAAAAACCACATTTTTACACTAAAAATCAATTATGGTACTATCACTTATCATTTATTTTGTCTTATCGTTAAAACTTAAGTTTTCAAGCCATTTTCATTATATATATATATAATATTATATATATATTTTTTTTTACCATTAGATTTGATCTCATTTGATCATAACCGTTAGATTATAAGTAACAAACAAACAAAGTTTGAAATATGACAATTTGGTGGATCCAGAATAATTTAAGCCAAACTTAAATTCTAGGGAGAATTTAGCCCATAAATATATTTTCTTCCCGGTGCTTATTTTAACTCAATGGTTAGAGATGATTGGGGGGAATTTTAAAGCTTTATCTCATTGGTTAGATATGGTCTTATGATCAAGGATGAGGTGGTACTGAAGTCGAGACAGAAAAGTTAGGTTGGGGGTGTTTGGTACTACCCTCAATAACAATAGTTTTACCCTCCCCAATGGTACGATTTACTCAACAAAATACAACTCTATGATATTTGGATTTACCCCCAAGGGATTTTCTGCGGTGTCCAGCGTATGGGATCCTCTTTGTTTTAACAGTTGGATTTTTGTCTAAATATATAAAAATGAGGATATATCGGTTAAAACATCCAGAGTATCCTAAAATTTTTGAACGGCGAGTTAAAAATGAAATCCAATTTAGAATCGGGATGCATAGGAGATTTCAGATACATCTTGTATTATCTATTTGCTCTCCACACGTCTACGATCAACTTCCAACATATATCAAAGAGTGGCAACTGAACTAGCAGACCAAAAATCTAGCCCGAAGATACAGAACACGCGACCAGTTGTTTATCATTTTTAACGATGCATGTATACAATCATATGAATGACATCGAAATGCACTCACGGAATCAGCAAATTAAGATGGATGCTGTGCTGGATTGGAGATGCCGGTCACTTCTTCCCGCCCCCGGAAACATTAAACTTGAAGAATATGACGTCAGCATCTTGGACCACGTATGTCTTCCCCTCCTGTCTGTACTTACCAGCAGCCTGAAACAACGAAGACGTGTGAAATTAATTAGCAAGTTAAACCACATGACAATTCCTCACCTAGTAGAACATAGAGTTGTGCCGAAACAGCAGAAAATCCTCTTCGGCAGCCAGTATTAATTCTTTTACAATCCAAAGCTATGGACGCTAAAAGCCATTGGGCGAGTAACGATTTGATGGCAGCTTTGGGCTATCTAGGGACTGTAAATTATA